TTTTTCCGTCTTTTTTTTTTCCTTTTAAAAATATTTTAGAAAAGGGAAAAAATGAGAAATACCATTTTTCTTTTTTTTTTTTTTTGTTTTTGATTCTACGGAAAAAGAAAATTGGATAGATCTGTTACTGCTGTTGTTGTATTTTTCTTTTAATAGAATTTTCACAGGTGTCAAGATTTTACGATAAAATGTTACGAGATTTTTTTTTCCTTAACTATTTCAATAAATATAATGTCCTAATAAAATAAAGGATGTTTAAAAGTGATTTCTTTCACTAATTTATTGTCTTCAACAAATTGAAAAGTAATGGATTAAACATAGATTAAAGAACAAAGAAATAAAATTTTTAAGTCAAAATTTAAAACATTTGGCTCCGATAAATAATTGAATGCTAGTACAGCAATATTATTTGTGCCAAGCAAACAAAAACAAGAAAACAAAAAAAAAGTGATGGCCAAGTATTTCATTTCCTAGGATCAAAATATTTACATGAAAGTATTATAAAAAATTATATTGCTTGTAAATACAAAAGAAAAAAATGATAATGTATGAAATTTTTTTACAATTAACTTCAAAAACAGTAATTTTTGTTTACTTTTTTTCAATTTAGCAAGTTATTTATTAAACAATTTAACGAAACTTGATGACTCAACTAAAAAATATTAAATATCAAAAAAAATATCATTAAAATAATCCAAAAGATAACAAAAAAACAATTATAATGAAATATTTATAATGAAAATAAAGTATTAATTTTAAAACAAAAAGAAAACAGAAAAAATACCACAAAGAAAAAATTGTAATACAATATACCGATTATAATTAAATACCTGAAATAAGAAATTATCAGTGAAAAAGTTATAAAAGCAATGCAACAAAAAAAAAAGAATGGAAAAAAAAACAAACCTCATAATGCCTTTTATAGTTTTTACTATCATAGCTCTTGTTTTGTTTTTTGAAAAAAAAGTGTAAAATATGAAGTGGAAAAACATCTTTGAAGATAAGTTGCAATTAAATAAAGTATAACAAAATTTTGCATTTGAATGCCTAAAAAATATTTATGCACTGGTTGGTGACGACAACGCATATAGTGTAAAATGATACTTTTTGTAAAATAATAATTTTCTCAATTAATTATTCGCTAATCTTCTCTTTTGTTTTTTTTTAAAAAATATTTTTATTTGTTTTTTTATTGCATTCTTTCATTATTATTGCTATTATTATTATTATTAATTATTATCATTACTATTACTATTAATAATAATAATAATTCCACCTGAACAATTCGTTAAAAAAAAAGGAAATTTTATCGAATTTAAAAAATTGAAAAGGATTAAATTACCATACGATTATCTAACACTAATTCTCGTTCAACTCAATTCTAACTCTAACAACGTTAACTTCATGTTCTCATTCACCCTTTTCTTAAAATTGATGCAAGCTAATTATTTTATTCACCTTTTTCTTTTTTTTTTTCTGAATCATGTTATCAATACAAGCTCTTTTTTTATCTGCAATAGTTTATCAAATTTTTTTCTGTTTTTTGCATCGCTCAAAAGAAACATAAAATCATAGAAATGAAATTGTTTTAAAATGAAACCAAAAAAAAAAGAAAAAAAAAACAAGCGACATTATAAAAATAAAAGGAAATAAATTATTTAATCGTATATAGACAGTTAATAGAAGGTAAAACATTGAAGAAATCAGTCATTCATTTTACTATTATTTCTGATCTTTTCTTCAAAATCATTCTTTTCAAAAGTATTGCTTGAAAAGTTGCGTTAATTGAATATATAAAATACATTGTCATATTAATAGATATTAGATTTCATATTATTTACAATTAATAAGTCTTAGAACATTTTAAAATTCGAAGAAAAAAAAAGATTATTTCACATCGAATGAAATTAAAAAGCAAATAAGCTAGCTTAGTTGCTAAACAATGGTGATGCTGATGCTGTTGATGAAAATAATTGATGATATCATCTAAAAGATAATCATTTTCTTTTATTTAATCATTGTCATTATTATCATGTAAATTTACAAATAAAAAGATTATTATAATAAGTTTATTAAATTTAATTTGCTTATTATTCATAAAATTTTTAGCAAATAAATTAGTGCTAAAATTATCTAAATGTATGAATTTTTACGAAAAATTATTTTTGAGATCTTTATTATAATAAAATAAAATTATCAATTCAGTGATAACGAAACGAAATGGTCGAAATAATGTTTTGCGCAAAAATGAACAGAAAGATACTTTTTTAAAAAAAAAAAAAAAAGAAAGAAAGGAAAGAAAAAAGAAGAAGAAAATGAAATTGAGTAATTTTAGAAAAGTCGAGAATAATTTCCTTCAATTTTATCAGCAAACATAACTTTCGTCTTGTAAAAAAAAGGAAAAGGAACCATGAACTATTCATGCTACCTTTTTTTTTTTCCTGAACAACAATTAATTGAAATGTAAACGAAATTGGCATGAGAAGATGATTTTTTTTTTCGTAATTATAATTTTTCTACGCAAAAAAAAAAAATGATAACAATTAAAATTAGATAAAGGAAAGTTAAAATTAAAACAAATAAATAATTGATTGTTCTTGTTATTATGACAATATAACTGTTATTGTAATAGCATTTGTGGCATTGTGCATAGTTAAATTATCATTTGCTGCATAACAGAAAATAACATATAATTATTTTAGTAAATAATCATACATGTATATAAATTTTCCGATAAATTTAAACAGTTTAACTTAGTTAATTTCAGAAAAAAAAATTAATAATACAGTCTGGCTGTTTCATTAACACACTAGAAAAAAGAAAATTAAATTAAAAAGGAAATAGCAAGTAAGCGTTTACGTTTGAATAAGTTTATTTGATCAATAGATGGATTATTTTTAGTTAAAATACAATTTAAAAAAAAATCCACTGTAAAAGTTACGATAAACTTTAATTATTTAATAATAATATTTGAAATTAATCATAAAGTTCAGATAAAAAATAAAAATCATAGCAAATGTATCCCTCTTTTCCTTCTAATAACAATTAAAATTATATTTAACAAAGCAACAAGTTAGTGTAGAAATATAAATTTTACTCCAATAAATAATTAAATTTGTTTAAAAAAAAATGATCTATCAAATATAAGGAAAAAATGCTAGAAGGAAATTAAAGTGTTTTCTAAGTACATAAAAAGCTCCAAAATCTCAAGGAATTAGAGAATAAAATTGAAATTTCATTTTAATTAGTGAAATTCTTATTTTGAATGCCAAGAAATGTCGGTGAAAATTAAAAAAAAAATAATCATTGTAATTTACTGGATAAATTATAGATGGATATTACTTACATATATAAACGAAAAAATTGAATCTTGAAGTTCTGAAATTTGATATTGAAAGTGAGAAAAATGAATGAGACTGAGATATTGCAAATATAAACTAAAATTCTTAAGGCACAAGCAATAAGCAATATTTTTTCTTGGTAGTTTAAAAAGCTAAAATTTTTTGAATACAATTTTTATATCAAAAATGTTACGAATGAAGCAAAGAAAATATTTCTAAAATCTTTTATATTTCTAAAACTGTAGAATATTTTTAAAATTTAAAAGTTCTAACTTATTTCTTGGTTTATTTCTGCATCTAATAAGTATTATTCACAAACTGTGCTACAACTCATTTTGTTATTCCTAAATTAGACATTTTAAATGAAAAAATTGAATCTTTAAGTCCTGAAATTCATTAATTTCGTCAAAATTTTCAAAACTTTACAAAAATTTATCAAAACTATTCATTAACTTTATCAAAATCATTGTGACGGGTATTCATTGAATAAATTTAAAACGGTGTCTTTTATAAAAAAAAAAAGAGATTTAATTATTTCTACCATATGTCAAATTATTAAAAAATTAAGATCTATCCGCAAAAAAAAAAAAAAAAAACAGAAAAAAATCAAATGGTATAATATAAGTAATTTTTGTAGCTAACGAAATTCAAAACATTTCTAGGATAAAATTTAGATTTTAGTAAAAACAAAACATTAACTATTTCATAAAATTTTGTTATTTATCAACGATTTAATTAAACTAATTATTACTGTAAATGAACATTACAATATTAATTGATATTAGTGGATTAACAAATTACCATAAATTTGCTCACACATCTACTGTTAGGAAAAAAAAAAAAGGAATAATCAATAAATAAAAGGCAGAAAAAAAAAGAGATATCCAATATCCACGTTATATGTATGAAATGAGAAAATTTCATATATCGGATCTTTCTATTCTTCTTGATTTCGCTATTTTTCTCATACATTCTGAAAAAAGGAGTTAACTGAATGGGACAGATACGCCATTCCTTTTTTGTCTTTCTTCTTTTGTTTAAAAAAAAGCTAAATCTTCGTGTCAATTTAATTATTTCATCATTTTCAATGCATGTATAAATTAATCTAACATGTTATAGTGTTTATGCCTTTTTTTCTTCTGTTTGCTTACTTTTCAGTTTTTTTCTTTTTTTTTTTTAAAGTAAGAAATATGGTGATTGAAGTCTTAACAAATGTTTCTTACAAATCCTTTCAATGTAAGATGTATTCATTGATTTATCAAAAATTAAAAGGAAATTGATTTTTTAACCTTGGTTAATGATTTTAACAAAAAATAAACTTCATAGGAAACAAGAAAGCATAAATTTACTATTTAAAGTTTTAATTATGAAAATTTTCAAAAGCAATATAAACAGAATGTAAGAAATTTAAGGATGTAACACAATGTGATAACATGTTGTGATAAATTTTATCCTATAAATAGAAGTTAAGTTTTTGATAACAATATAATAATTACTGATAAAAAATATGTAAGAAAACACTAATGATTTACAATAACTATGAAATATATTTAACCAAATTCAACAATGCAAATTTAATTTCACTAGTTTTATTTAAATTTAATAATATATGTTTGATGAAATTTGCTTAGAATTATTTTTTTGCAATTATGATTTTGAATGCTTCAGTGCTATGATGATGTTTTCTTGTACGTGGAATGCATGAAAAAATTCATTCTCTTTTCGTATACAATCAAATCATTTGTGCCTTTTCAGTGTTTTGCATCACATTATGAATTATTAAAATGGAAATGTAATTCCTTATCATGAAATTTCCAAGTCAAATATTTCAAATCAAATTTTCGAGTCATTCTTTTTCGTTTTCTTTTTCCATTCTTCTACTTTGCCTCTCATTACCATTATTGGAAACTATATTAAATTTCTGCAAAAATTTTTTAAAAAAATCCATTTTATTATATTTTTCTTTCAATGAAATATGCAAATTAATAACAGTTGATTAGTGCAAAAAATGACAAATGATTTGATAATATTATAAAGAAATGACAGAAATATTACATGATATCGTAAGAGGAAAACAAATTAATAGATAGTATTATTATATTGCAGACTGACTGATATTAATATATACGGTGATCCACTAACAGTAACGATTTCAGCATGCATATTAGGAGGCTCACAAAATGGAGTAGCAGGCACTGGGTGCATTTGTCGAGATCGCCAAAATGAGCGATGTAGCGCACAAATGCACCGAATGCTTCGTGATGTAAGCTCAATATGTATTGTTGCCGAAGTACTTCGGTGTAATCAGTATCAAATATATCATTTGGTACTGTTTACAATGTAAATGGATGGCTTGTTAGGCCCCGACCTATTTTTTGGAAGGTCACCTTTCCAGGTGACGAATTAAAAGCAAGCATATAAAAGAAATGAGAAGGTGAAATATTTGAAAATATACATTGGAAGTTGTTAATTTTATTTTTATTTATTATTGTTTGAGAATAGCTTTTTTTTTTAATTTTATAATTTTTTATGTTTAGATCAAATGCTGCAAATTTAATAAAGTTTAAACTTTACCAAAATTTGATAAACAAAGTGTTTAATTAATTATACTTAAAGAAAAACGTAAAAAAGAAAATTTAATAAGTCATTGCAGTGATCAATATTTTTTTAAAAAATGAAAAAGCCATTATCATCGCAGATTTTTTGAATTTTATCATTTAATGGTAAAATTAAAAGAATAAATTTAATACAAAAAAATTACGATGGAACTATTTTGATAAATTTTGTATGATACACACAATAATAACTAATATTTCTTCGTTTGAATGAATTATTATGTTAAGTAATGATAACAAATGATATCATTATGAAATATTTGTGTATATTAATAGAAATGTATGATAAAACAAAACAATGAGAAAAGATTTTTTAAATTAAATAGAATAGGAAAAAAATTTTTTTTTATGACAAATTAAGAAAAAAAATATCAAGTGGATAATTTTTAACGGTGTTTTGAAATAATGACAAAAACAAAAAAAAGTGGTGAAAATGGGTAAAACTGAAGAAATGCAATAAAATAATTTCAAAAAATTGCGGGAAAAAATTTACAAAAAATAAATTATTCCCGATTTTTTCATTCACTCGTTCCTTCCCTTTTATCTATATCTATTCTAATATTTTATTGCTTACTTAAAAAGAAGAAAAAAAAATTTTTTTTTTCTTTAAAAATGATAAAAATGAAATAAGAAAAAAAAAAATGCTTTCATTAGTTTAATGAACTTATCCTTTCTTTTTTCCTTCTCATTTCTTCCAATGTCCTTCCATCCTTTAGGTTTAGCTAATTAATGCTAATCAATAATAGTTGAAGTTCTAACAGTACGCGTTAATTAAAATAGCTTTCCATTTCGTTTTTTTAGAAAAAAAAAAAACCATCCTTAAAATCATGTAACAGAATTTAATTTAAATGCTTCCCTAATTTGCTTAATTATAATTGGTAGAAAAATACAAAGAAGGCAAAATATTATGACTATATTTTATCTAGCTAAGCTAAATGTAAAATGGAATAATAAAACAAAGTTAGAAAAAAAAAGAATTTAATTGCTTAAATTAAATCAACACTTGAATCAGTTGCGAATAAGATTAAAATTAATGAATGATTTGTTGTTAATTAAAACGTAATCAACTTAATCTTCTCAGAAAAAAAATTATCATTCTTTTCGTTACATATCATTATGCTTCCTTTTTTTGTTACCATAAATTTATCATCATTATGCAAATAATAATTGTTTTTAAATTGATTTTTATAGATCGGTTGAGATATCTTTTCAAATTTTCATATCTTTACTGTTATGAGCTTAATTACTATTTTAATCGTAGAAGTAAATCTGTAAAATAATCTAATTCAAATAAAATTTTAATAATTGATAATATGCAAAAAAAGAGAGCGTTGTTTCATTTATGACATAAATTGACTAATTTTTTCAAATTTTTCAACAAACATTAAGCGATATGAAATAAATTACAGTATTTATTTGATATGGAAATGTTATCCACCAATATTAATAAATCTAACGAATCACATAAATCCAAAGTTTTTTTATATTATTATTTCTTTTTTAAATCAAAAGAAAAAATGCAAATAAAAAACTAAAATACTGTAATGATATTTAATTTAAACTAAGCAATTATTTCATTTTTTTTCCTTTATTACATTTAAAATTTCAATTCATAAATTGATGGTTACAACATATGATAGCAATGCTTTCCAGAGAAGTTTTTTTTTTGTTTTGGATTTTTGTTAAAATAAAAAAGAATTAGTCAATCAACCATTCAATTTCATTTTTCATACATAAACTTATGATTGTAAAAATTGAATGAAATATCTTTCAAAATTTTATTTATTTACAATAAATGATTAAAATCTTTTATCATAAAAAATATGAGAAAAAGAGAAAAGTAAAATGAATTTAAAAAAGAAGAAATAATAATATCAGTAATCAAAGAAATGAATCCATATAATCAATTTTTTTTTTTGATTTCAATGTGCAACATGAATTACTAAATTGTGATTGATTTATTATATCAATGATATCAACTGTTTTAGAAGATGAGCTACTGGAAAACAATAATGAACTATTAATATCATTCATATCATTTATAATTTTTCGTTGTAAATAATTCGGCGATGATAAATCCATTTTAATTTCATTATCATTTTCAACTGCTATTGTCGGATTACTGAGCGAACATAATGGTATAACAGCTGTTGTTGATGAAGGTGAATTGTTCTTTTCTTTCCTACATTTAAAAAAAAAGAAAAAAGTTCAAAGAATACTTTGAACAAAGTTTCATTAAAATTATTTTTAAAATTTTCATCACTCACTATCCATCAGTGATCACTTATCAGCAGTTAATAATCATCATTATAGATAAATATTAAAAATTAACATTATTAATTTAAGTAAAAAAAAAAGAAAGAGAAAGAAAAAGGTTTAAAAAAATGAAATAACTTATACTTTTGTTTTATTTTAGCTGTTCGAAAAAAAAGATGTTGTAATAATATTTACTAATTTCATTGAGCTATTACTAAACAACAGCAATAAAAGTTTGAAAAGTTCAATTTCATTAATTTTTTTATTTAATTCCATTTAATTTCATTAAACTATTGCTAATTATAGCAATAAAATTTTGGAAAAAATAAAATTCTGAAAAATTTAGAAAAAAAAAGTGGAATTACGAATACAGACATATAAATTATTTGCAAAAAAAAAACAAATTCTCATTGCATTTCTAAATTCATTAAGTTATTATCATTACAAAATTGCTGTAATTATTTAATTCACATATCGTAATAAAAAAGTGATAAATGATTTATAAATTAAAATTGGAAATTAAAAAATTAAAAGTGAACCTTGTATGCTGTTGATTTTCATAGCCACTCGTTGCATCAAAATTGCAGTGTAACGGTCCAGCACATTCCACAAGGCTAAAGTTTAAAAGTAAAAGAAGGTTAAAACATTTAATAAAATTGCAAATACTTATGAGAAGTTTACGTAGTTACGCAAGTCTGTAAATTATTATTTATAAAAGATGTATAATTTAAAATTAAGAATTTTGCAAATTGATCAACATTTATGAAAAGTTGTCTTCCTTATAGAACTAAAAAATTTTTTAAAAAATTGAAAAAATGATTGAAAGCTGTTGAAAAAAAAAATTTCTTTTCCTAACATCAAGTAAAATTATCAGAACAAAATTTAAAAAAAAAAAAAAATGAAAAAATAAAAGGTAGCGAGCAGACAAGAAATGGCTAAAATGCAAATGCAAACATATAAAAACTACTTTCTAATATTAATCAAAAATTTTTTAGCAATTATTTTCTGTATTAAAACATTTATAATCGTCCTATATAGTGTAAGAAGTAAATTAGAAAGTTTTGCAAAAAATCAATTTTAAATATTAAAAAAAATAAAAATGGAATTAAAACCTAACAAATCCTTAAAGATATGATGTAAACTTTTTTTTTAAAAAAAAAGAACGAAAAAGAAGAGAAAGCTAAAACTAATAGATTAATTTCACCTACTGATGAGAATGTTTGATCAATGCATCTAAAGCGGTACTGGTAGCATTTGATAATGATCGACAACGTTTAATTAAAGCTTTTGTGTGTTGTTGTCGTAATTCACGATTGATAATCGCATATAGGATTGGATTTACGGCCGAATTAAAGCAAACTAACAAATGCGCCGCAAAAAAAATTGATGATAATGTTAAGGTTGACCAGGATACCTAACAAGAGATATTACTTATTACTTCGTTTTTCATTGTTTAAATTTTTGTTGTTGTTGTTATTGTTAATTAGATAAGAAAAGTTGGTAGAAATGCGACATATGATAATGCATCATGATAATATTTACACTACGATAGTAAATGGAATAATATTAAAGTTTAATTGAATGATAAAAAGAGAAATGAATAAGTTTGTGCATTTAGTTATGAATAAAAAAAATTCTTTTTGAAACTTGATAAATCACTTTTCTTTCTCTCGCTATTCCCTTTTTTGAAAAAATTTCAATATGATTTTGAAATGTTATTTTAGTTAATTGATAGGAGAGATATTTATTTCCTCAATTTATTATCACACGTTTATGATAACATCGATAATTATGAAGCGAATTTTGTTAATAGAAAATTAAAAAGCAAAAAAGAAAAATTAAAATAGCAATAAAAGGAAAAATTCTGATGCATTAAAAAGAAAGGCTTACAACAATAAGCTCAAAATGAGCCAGTAAATTTAGTGCCCAATGTGGCAGCCAACAGAAAAAATAAAATAAAATCATAGCAACAATTCGTTTCGTTACCTACAAAATAACTTTTTTAATTCTAATTTAATTCATCGAATTAAAATTTCTAGATTCATCTGAAATATACAGAGGAAAAGAGAAATTATGCTATTTTGTAATTTTTGTAATATCATTAAATTCTTGTATTTGAAATTGGTCATACAACATTTATTCTTTATTCATCAGTATTAGTAGGCAACAGATTTCATTTAAACAGCACGATTCTTTTTTAACTTTAAATTCCATATACTAAAAAAATGAAGTAATGCCAAAAGCAATTTCATATTAAATTTTGTAAAAAAAAATTAAAATAATATCAAAAAAAGTGAATATTTCATTTAAAATTAAAATAATATCAAAAAAAAGTGAATATTTGATTTAAAATTCAAAATATACCTGCCTTATCCGCATATTTGCATTTCGCTGTTTAGTGACAAAACTATGTCGATGAACATTTGCAACACTTTTATGCAATTGTATAATTACCTTCAAAAAAAAAAAAAAAAAAAAAACTTGTCACAATTAGTGTAAAATAATTTAAATGATACCTGTTAAAATTCAAAAAAAAGGATTGGAAAGGACATAGATAGCTATAGTTTAAACTATTATTTTTTTTTTAATTTAATGAATTATTCAAAAAAAGAGAAAAGACAAGAAACTAAAAAAAGAATAGAATAACTTATTACATTTAAGTAAAAATAGGTAATTAAAAGAGCTGGTAATAAGAAACCACATGCGAATGTATAATACATAAATGTTGGATTGCTTTCTTCAAATATACATTTTGTTTGTGTTATATGATGATGATGATAATGCTTGTGTTGCTGATGATTATGATTATGATAGTCTAGAAATATCATTATTAAAAATTAGAATTTTAAATGTGTCGAAAATTTGAAATTAAAAAAAAAAGGCTGTAAATATATATATATATATATATCTTTTTTTTTATAAGTCATAAGTAATAATAGAGAAATAAATAAAATAAATTATTAAAGAAAAATGAAAAGAAAATGCAGTAAAATAAACAAACCTAAGTGTAAAGCATCGTTTGGATTACCTATTATAAGGCTACCTGTTTGAACATCAACATGTACAACGGTTGCATTCATTACAACAGGTAACAAAAGTATTACCGCTAAAGATGAGCATAACAATAAAACGAAGCATGCTACTGTTGTTCTTCGCATTCTACGATAAATTAATAATTATTAATAATAAAAAAAAATTTGTTGTTAAAAATTTATAACAATTAAAAAGTGAAAAAAAAAGTTCATGAAAGATTTTTTTTCTTGTCTTCAACACTTAAATTTAAATAAAAAATCTCTCTCTACAATAATATAATAAAAATTTTTTTTAGTTTTGTTTACTTTATTGTCTATAAATGAACTGATTAAAAAAGAGGAAAACCTGATGGATTTAATTGGCGAGCATACAGCCAAATATCTATCCCAGCTAAGGACAGTCATAATAAAACTGCTCAATAATTTATTAACACTCTCACCAAACCAATAAAATTTACACATTAATTTACCAAATAGCCATTGTCCATATAATAAATCAATGATTAAAAATGGCAAATGCATAATAACCAAAAAATCCACCACTGACAAACCTAAAAAAAAATCGAATTATTATTTAAATAATTTAAATAGAATTGAAATTTTTGTAATCAAAAAAAAAAAAAAAAAAAAACAATTCATTTCAATTATGAAGCAAAATAAATTAAGAAATATTTTCTGTTTAATAAAACTAGTTTAATTCTTTTTTTTTTTGTTAGAATAAAAAAAATAATATTAGTTTTTGTAAAGGTAATATGTTTTTTCGATAGAAAAATATTTCCGATGGAATAGTAAAAGTTTTGATTTAAATTAAAATTTTGATAGCTTTATTAATGTTTTCTTTTTTTCACTTCATGATTTCAATTATTTGCATTTTTCTGATACATATAATCAGAAATAACAGTATTTCTGATCGGTTCCTTCTTGTTTTTTAATTCTTATTAATTAAAAACCTTTAAAAATCCGTTTCTGATATTGCCTTTCGGAAAAATTCAGTACTCGTTAGAGTAATGATTACTTCATTAATCAATTTTTTTAGTAACTAAATTGAAGCTAGTTTCTCTTCAAAGTTTTAACTAATTAAAACCAATTAAAACGTATTAATCACTTATTCACTCATTGATCTTTTTAATTTTTTGTTCAGGGTGATCAATCTGTTGACATTGAAATTATCAGCATTTCACTCATTCATTATCAATTTTGATATCTCGTAACCATAATGAATTAGTTTGATTGAATTGTGCAAAAAACTGTAGCGAATTATTTTGAAAAATCAAATATTTGAACAAAATTTATGCATTTACCATGCAAATTATGAAATAATCAATGAAATTGATAAGATAAATTTTATTGAATAAATTAATTAATGAAGCAAATAAAATAAATAACCAACCATTGTGAATTTACATATTGTTACTTTTTTTTCTTGTCAATTTCATTATTTATACGGAAAATTTTAGTTAGCGGAAAAACAATTAAACAATTTTTATCTTTGATATTATTTTTTCCCCTCTTTTGATTATTCCTTATTTCCTAAATTTCAAAAATTTTTTAAAATTATCTATTCACTAAAATTATATATGGAAATTTGTTGAAAATAAAATGTAATAATTTTTTTTTTAGATTTGAAATGTTGATTTTAGTTGAATGAGCTGTAAAATGTTACTATTAAAAGGTTTGGCTAAGAATTATTCTACTACCTTCAAAAAAAAAAAAAAAACGAATGTCATTATTTGATGAATTAAAATGAAAATGTAAAAAAATAGTGCAAATAAAATTTCAAAATTAAGTTTTTTCTTTTCATTTGATAACTTATTTAACTTACCCAAAATATAAATAAAAACATGTAAAGTGTTGCTTGGATTAACTCGAACTGAATTTAAACCTTTCCTTCGTGTTGCTGTTAACACATTAACGATCATTACAATAACACTCCTTAAATATTTTATTCAATTTTATTCACTTAAATTTAATTTAATTTATTTTATATTTTAAATCCAAATAAAGTTAAATAAAATTAAAAGATAGATTTATGCATGCATCAAATAGCTTTATAATAATATCCAATCAATTTGCTTTCCATTTTTCATTGATTAATATAACTCACGTTTTCTTTATTAAAAAACTATTGCTTCAATTAATAAATTTTCACCAAAAAAATGTCACTTAAATTCTTAACATTTAAAATTTGTCTAAATCTAATATTATTTTAAAATTAATAAATTCTACAATTTTTTCTTCTTTCATTTTTTGTTTTTGTTTTTAATATTTTGTCGAAAATTAAGAAACGAGACGAAAAAAACCAAACAATAAAAATAAATGAATATGAAGTGAAAAAATAATGAAAAAGGATAACCCAAAAGGAAAGTGGAAAAAGAAAATTGAAAAACAAAATTTTTTTCTTTCTTAAAAAATTAAAAAAATTTACCCATTACCAATTGTTCCAAATAAAAAAAGAAGAAAATAGGATATACTAAAAATTAAGCGTATAAATTTTCGCACTAATTCTTCATTATCATTTTCAGTATCTGAAAAAAATTGCACTAATAATTTTCTATTTTAATTTTGTTCTTTTATTTTTTCAGTTTGTTTTAATCATATATTTTAATTTTGATTTAGTTATAACAGATTGATTGGAAAATTCATAAAAATGCTGACATTTTATATTATAAAAAATACTTTTGAAAAATTTAATACATCCGTCTTTTCATTTTTCTAAAGCATTAGTACTTTTCAGGAAAAATCAAAAAACTAAAAAAATTCATTTTACTTTTTTTTGGAAATAATGTTGCTTTTCTTTTAGTGAGCGAAATGGTTCATTAGAATGATGAATGAATAATAATTATAAATTTAATTTTGAATGTAAGAAAAAAGTTAACTTCAGAAGTAAAAATTTCTTTTTTTGCTTTTATCACTTGTCTTTTTTTGAGAAATCATTAATTTGCTACAATTAATTAAAAATAAAAATAGAAGGAATGCAGTATTTTTTCATCGTTTTAATTTTCAGTATACCAAAATTATATTTTATCCCAAAAAAAAAAAAAAAAAAAAAAAAAAAAATGTCAAAAATTAATAGCAATAAAACTTCATACCAAAAATATCTTAAATCTAAATCAATATATTCAAATTTTTAAAAAAACTGTACATTATTTTTCGAAGAAAAAATGAAACAGAAAACGACAAACAACGAGAATAACTTCTTAGTTTAATAAAAATATAAATTTTTTATTAGAATCTTTCTGTATTTTATAAAAAATAAAATAAAAAATTTAACCTACTGATATAATTATTGAATGTTTCATTTAACAAACTACTATTAAACTTTATTGTTTTTGATATCAGTGCTGCTTTTGTTGTTGCTGCCACTGCTGCTGTTACTGTTGGTGTTGTTATCGTTATCCAAATATTAATTGAATCTAGACTTATGAACATTATCTGTAAATTTTTAATAATATTTGTATAAATTAACAATAGAATATTATAGATATTTAATATCGAAATTATTTAAAAAAAAAAAACGAATTTATAAAAAAAAAAATTACTAAAATAATTAAACTCTATCTCCTTCTCTCTCCCTCTTTTTTCTCTCTTTCATGTGTCCCTCCCTTGCATTTATACATCGATCATATTTATAAATCAGCAACAGTATTGCTGTAAATTATCAAAAGAGAACAAAAAAAAAAAAAAAAAATTTCGAGAGTGAATTGAAATTAATGAAGAATATAAAATGATGTAAATAAGGAAATGAATTAAATTCATCCAATTTCATTATCATCGTTAAACATCAATGATATAATCATATGTCAATTATTGCCTGATTATTAATTTTTATTGGAAAATATTTATTCTGCAAAAATTTAACAAAAATGAATAATTCAGAATAAATAAAACTTTAAAAAAACGAACGATTTTGTTGTAAAAATGTTGTTTAAATTTTTAAAATCAATTATAAATTGCTAACTTATACTATATATAATGAAAATTCATTTGATTTTTTCATTTATTTTGCTTTGCTTTTTTTCGTTGTTATAATTCTTTATTTTGGTTTTTATTTTTGAATAAAATCACGAACCTTTTTTTATTTTTTCATATTATTTTAAACAAAAGTGAAATTTCAACTCTTTCTCTGTGCTTTTCTCCATTTCTTAAAATTTTTAAAAAAACCTTTTTTCCTTATCCTTTTTATAAAAATTGTAACAAAAAACATACATTTGTAACAAAATCTAAAATAAAATTTTTGTTTAATCAAAATCATCTCATTATATTTGCTCAAAAAAAATTTGTAATTTCATATTTAAAAAAGAAAAAGAAAGAAAGACGAAACTGTGCAAAATAATAAATATTTGAATAGATATTTTTCTTCGCCTTATTTATAATTTTCAATTCCACTTCATTTCGATAGCAATTTTTTTAATTTATTAATTAGCATCAATTATCTTTGGTGTAATATAATAATATGAAAATATTAAATACCAATCATTGAATAATTAAATAATCAAAATTTCAAGATTTAGATGAATGAATATTATTTGGTAAAGCTTAAAAAAAAATATTAAAATGATGATTTTATTTTTTTCTCTTTTTCTTTTTTCATTTAACATTGATAAATTAATTAAGGAAGCAATTGAATTTTATTTCCACACGTATCTTTAACTTTTAAGCAATAATTTTTCTAAAACGTCGCGAATGGTTCGTTAAATTAATAGTTTTATTAAAATAGAAATTATTGTTTGAAAAAATTTTTTGGCTTCGTTTCTTTTCTTTTTTTCTGAAATGTTTGTGAAAAAATTGATTCAAAAGGAATGCTAATTATTTTTCCAAATTAAATATAATATAAATTTAGTATAAATTTAACAAAACAGGAAATTAATAGCATTAAACTGCCCTTTTTTTATAAAATGAGTAAATGATTAAAAATTTACAAAAAAATAAAATAAAATAAAAAGAGACAAATATGTAAGAATAAAGTTTAAAAAATAATGAATTTAGCATCGATTATAACACATATACATATGTGTCAAAATTAAAAAAAAATTTTTTTTTTTTTATGTAAAAAAAAAGAAAACAAGAAATGAAAGAAAGGGCTTATTCTTAATTATTTTTTATTTTTATTTTTTTTTTCATTCTCT